ATACATTTTTCTTATTATATATTATATATTAATTAACTTTTATATTGCAAAAGGGAGAAATTGCATTGCTTTTAATAAATCAAGAAGAATATAATTAAATTGTCGCAGAAAATACGACAATTTGATTTATTCTTCGTTTATTAAAATCGCAATTTATGCAATTTATTTATTTCTCTGCAGGAATATCAAATTTTTCAAAGTAAAAATAATAATAATAATATATTAATTTTTCTCAATATACTACTGTAACACAGATATACTTTAATAACTTTTTCGATTCATCAAAATATTGTGTGCGCGCAAGATACAAAAGATATATTTATTCGGTATATCTGAAAATACATTAATTTTTTAAATCGTGCTTTTTAATCACTCTGATATTATTTGCAACGTTGAGCTTATCGAATTATGGCGCATTTCTTAATGCTCCGTAGTTTCTATAGGAAACGACTTCCGCGGCGCAGTTTTAAACGCGGAGCCGCGGAGGGCAACGAGAAAGCCCTTGAAATTTTCACGCCGGGGTGCTTTCTTCTACACACTAGGTCGTATCCCGGGTAACGGAATGAAACAAATGAACCTCGGCAGTCGCCAGTACCGTAATCGCTTTGGTAACGACATGTTCGAGCTCTCGCGCAAGCCCGCCGCGAGACGGATGCCCTCGCGGTCCCGTCCGCGAAAATAAAATAAAATCCGCGCTTCACGTTTTCCGTGAAAATCCGTCGCTAATCCCGGTTTTAAAAAAACAAGTGACCTATTTCGCTGCTCGATGTGACTTTTACTCTTCTCTCGTCGTCGGGGAATTAGACAGTTAGATTAATCTCCTGATTAAAACGTGCTTGTTCTACAAATTCAGAATTTATTTCGTAATTCAACAAATCGCCCGGTGCTTTAAAAAGATTGATGAATAAGAGTTAATTAACGTAACGCGGAGAAACATTGAGTTATCTGTCTTCGCGTCATCATCACTTTTCTGAACGGAAAAAAAATTAAGCCGTCGTGAAACGGGAAATTCAAGTGATTGCGAAGATTGAGAATGATTAAGGAAAAATCGAAAACAAGGTGAGAACAAGGGGAAATTCTTTCGATCGCCGCCACCTGCGATTATTCGCAATTATTCCTCTCGAATGTCTACAGTGAGAACATCTGTAGACCAACGATGATATGACAAGCGAATTAATCGCGTTAATCGCAGCTGTGGAAATCCGAGTAATCCGGGCGCCTCGTAACCTTCATGTGCTCTATGTTGCTTTCCAACTTTTCCGGGTGAGGATCTGTTCGTACACGGTTTCTCGCCGTGAGCAATCTGAGCCATCTCGAAAGCGAATAAATGCTCGCTCGTCATTGGCAAGTCACCGATCGATCCCTATCACTATCGTCGAAAGCTCTCTCGCTTCTCGAGCCAGCCGATCACGTAGTTCTATTCGCGAGTCCACGCAAATCGCCGTCTGATGCCTATTTCTATCAATGTAGATTAACTTTAATCTCGCTTTAACTTGCTCTTTCTCTTTTTCTAATTAATAAACGTTAGAAAAAGGTAAAGAATAATATTTAAATCAACATAAAGTTAAAGACTTACATTAATAGAAATTAGATATAAATATATTATATAT